ACTGGTGGTAGGACCTCTTGTGAGTCCGCGCGGGTGGGTACCACCACCCTGCCTATTTCTGCCGTGAAGCAGTAATGTGTTTCGGTTTGAAGGGTGGGGCAGCCGTTGTAACTATACTTGAGACCTTAGAACTTATATCTCAAGGTGGGTGACGCATTTACGTCGTAAATGTCTATGGGCTCCAGTAACCACTTAACATCAGGAGGGCTCTGAGCTCGTCCACTCATCCAGCAATAAAAAAAAAAACGAACTCAGAGCCCACCTGGTGTTAAGTGGTTACTGGAGCCCATAAACATGATTGATTTTTATGATATTTTAATTGTAATTTCATTTAAATTTATTGTCTGTATCTACTAAAATAAATATCATCATTTTTATACGTTTACAATGAAAATAAAATTCAGACTTCGACTTTATGTGACAAGACAGATAGTGGAGTTTACGTTATAATTAATATCTGCTCCATAACCACTTAACAGGTGGGCCGTAAGTTCCATATAGTGCAGACGGTGGAAAGACGATGGATTTCCATGTGTTGACCCGTGTTGACAACAATTGAGTTTGGAAAAGTAGTTCTAATGCAATAAAACATTCTCTTCCGTTTGCTATAAAGTATTCTTTACAAACCAAAGGACAACTCCTCTGTTAATGTATACGACACACAACAGTACACTCGCTCCACACAAAAGCGCACTTTCCGCTTATAAGCTCTTGAATATAGAGTATTTTCTTAGGAATTTTACGAGTCGCAGATGTAATTAGAACTACTTTTAAGATTTTATCTCGCGTTTTTATACCATTTGTGGCGTTTCGTATTTTACGATTTTCGTGACTAATAATTCGGACTAATAAGTCCATAATATTAATATTTATGTTTTTACGTATTCGATTGTATATTTTTATTGCTTAGATGGGCGGACGAGCTCACAGCCCACCTGGTGTTAAGTGGTAACTGGAGCCCATAGACATCTACAACGTAAATGCCGCCATCCACCTTGAGATACGAGTGCTAAGATCTCAGTATAGTTACAACGGCTGCCCCGTCCTTCAAACCGAAACGCATTACTGCTTCACGGCAGAAATAGGCAGGGTGGTGGTACCTACCAGTGCAGACTCACAAGAAATCCTACCACCAATAATTACGTAAATTAAAATTTTGCGAGTTTTTCAATGTTATTCCATCACCGTGGAAGTCAATCGTGAACATTTGTTCGAATACCGGTGTACCATTAGATACGAATGCATCGGACGTCTTATTCTTTAGACCACGACGACTTCAAAACTTAGTTCAATCTGTTCGTCAAATTGAAACGCTAACTAACATAATCCGGGGCACGTGTCAATTCGACTCACAAAATAACGCATTTAAGCATAATTCGTTAAGGTAATATAAATACGAAGCGAATTTACCCAACTTGCAGACGAATGCTTGTTTACTATACAATGACACGTCTTGTTCCGGTGACCGTATAGCATTTGCATGCAAATGGACCGGACGCGCTACGTGTGCTACACGATAATCGCTGACCTACCTAGTAGGGTTAGCTTCGGTATTACGTGAGGACTTTTTGCTGAGTTCAGTGTGCTTAGTGCGAGTTTTTTAAAGTTCTCAATAACGTGAAAGTTAGCTCATATTTGTATGGAACGTTTGCCTACGTTTGCCGCTAGGGGCGCTGCTCCAACTGCATACAAAATTGGGCTAACTTTTACGCTATCGAGAACGTTACATAACTCGCACTAAGCATACTGGTCAGCTTTTCAAAGGAGTTAAACGGTTGGCTTACATTAGAAACAGCGAAACAATGTAAATGTACATGCGTGTGTATTTTAACAAATCATGCGTTATACAAAACTCGAGGACCGCGAAAAGTGTATGATAAGATTTTATTTTTCTAAACCGTTTGTTGCTTCAAAACGCAATCGCGAATTCTGAACGAAAACTGTTTTGTTGACAATTTCTAGATTGTGTGACAATGTGCTAACCGCTCTACCAGATTTCGTCGCAAATTTAAGCTTCTTAAAGCTTATATACCTAATTCTTTTTTAGAAAATTCGAGTTGTCAGTTTGATGTACTTTGGAATTTTTTGTGGTTGTTCAAATTTGTCAGCAGTAATAAATTTAAAATAATAAACGCAAAATCAAACAGTAAAAATACTTTTGATTATAACAATTTATATAATTTACACCGCTACTAAGAATCAATATCAGTTGCATTATAAAAGCTATATACTATATATACATATTTATCATGAAACATGTTATTTAGGGTCATGTCTTGAAGTAGGCCTTTCTTTTTTTCTTTCAGCCGATGATTAAGGTGCATAGTATGATGTCCATATGTCAACGTAACAGAAATCATGTAAATACAATTAAATTTCAAACGTTCAATCGCAAAGTGCATCGTGAAACTATAACTCCATAAATCATTCAATCCGTTCAATATGGACCGAACTTCCTCTGATAGGTTGTGAACTTGCGCCGATAACTTCTTAAACGATCTACAAGCAAACTCGGAAATGGCTTAATGGGGCCACTGAAGTTTGAATGATATAAATAATGCTACGGCTGTTATTGGTCTTGGATACGATGATTTTTAATCTTATAGGTGTATATGAATATATCTTATAGGTTTAATGCGACATGATCATTTTTCGGGAGTTTTATATATGTCCATTTGCCTGGTAGCTTCCAGGTGAAAAGGCCGGAATTCATACTTTTCTATGTTTTTCTTGATCCACTGATAAGGTAATACCAAACAAGTCGTCGTGGCCTAAAATATAAGATGTCTGGTGTACTCGCATCGAGCGATGCAACTATGTAACGGTAGGCAACGGCTTGGCTCTGCCCCTAGCATTGCTGACGTCCATAAGTGACGGTAACCACTCACCATCAGTTGGGCCGCATACCCGTCTGCCTATACGGCAATTAAAAAAAATGCTGCAGTTCAAATATCGCTAGCAAATATTTTCCAAATTCGTAACTTCCTTCCACGAATGACTTCCACGATGAAGAAATTAACATCGTATCTTAAAAAATCGTACTACGAATTGAGACATAAACCGAGTGTCAAAGTAGAGGGTGGCATTCAGGTTGGGTGTCCACGGGCTCCGGTAATCACTTTAATATCAGATGAGCCGTGGACTTGGTCAACTGTTGATGTCAGTTTTATCGAAGTCGTCGTGGCCTAAAGGATAAGACGTCCGGTACATTCCTATGTAGCGCTGCACCGGTGTTCGAATCCCGCAGGCGGGTACCAATTTCTCTAATGAAATACGTACTTAACAAATGTTCACGATTGACTATCCACGGAATAACATCGTGTAATAAAAATCAAACCCGTAAAATTATAATTTGCGTAATTACTGAGCTGTGAACTCGTCCACACATCTAAGCAATTCAAAAATAAAAAATGCAATAGAACAATCTGATATTCAGTCATCGAAGCTTGAATGAACACATTTTAAGCCCTGCGGCCCAAATCTCAATTATATCATATTTATAACGAATGCCTCTCCCTTTCATTAGGTAAGGTTGATTCGCCGTAACTAGGACAATATTTGTTTCTAGAGTATTTGCTAGCCAACGGTATTATCATTCTTAGCATACCCTAAAACAATACCGGTCGGTTCAATCAGCTTCGCCGCCTGCATTGCTGCAAATTACAAATCAAATTTCGACCGACAGATGTATGGCGAACGTGCCGAAATACCACAAATGCGACGCTACATAACTAGTGTAAGCAAGACCCTAGAACATAACGAAAACCCATGAATTTTAATAGATTAAATGGGTATCAGTGAACCATTCAGTCATCGTACTTATAGCTGACGAATTTCGTCTGAACGAAGGAATTTCGAAGAAGCCTATAAAAAATGTGAAGTTTAGTTGTCTCTCTGATGAAATGTGAACTTAAAGCATGTTCACGAATGAATCATACGATAAAGAAGTTGTAAACATATAAATAACCAAACTCTCACAAAATGTATTTTGCGTAATTACTGAGACAATAGACATCAAGTCTCAAGATTTCATGTCTCGAGTAGCAATCATGTTATTAAATATATATGGGTTGTGATAACCACTTAGCTCGTTCTCCCATTACTGCAATAAATAACTCTCTTTCTCTATTTCTCAGTCCATCCGCTTGTTGTTTGCTCTTCTGGTGTTTTCACTAACTTGGAATATTTTAGGTACGAAGATTGTACAGTCGGTATGTATTATTTCGGTAGCTGTCATACTGGAAATCCGAGATCCGTTATAATCATGCGTTCACTGCGAAGAAGGACCCATATAGCATAACGCCGCAATTCTAAGGAGTATCCCTCCAATCTTCCTTAGGATTCTTGGGGTCGACATTTCGAGTGATGTCCAATATCGGATCCATTTGGAGGAGAAAGTCAAATTGGCTTCAAAAACACTGGGTGTCTCAACGGAGGGAAGCGGTACTACACTTTTGGACTTTTGCTTTACAAAGTTCACCCCGCGTTGATTACTGCTTTCACTTCTGAGTCCCCCAAATAACAGCTGCTTCGATTTGACTCCATACAGAAGAGAGCCGTTCAGATTGTCGATAATTCCATTCTCAATGACCATTTGGTACCTTTGGAAAATTAATAACATGGTACCCGATGACAGGAAATGGTGATTGACAACACGCAGATCTCAAAGCAGTATCTGATTTCTCAGGTCGTAAAGAGTAGATCCAAAGAATTCGTCCTGGTTTATCGAAACTCACAACTCCTTATCCAAACCTATCTACAATTGATAAAAAACATTAAAAGTGTACTATTTTTCGTTTTGAAAAACTCATATAATTATAAAAATATTTTCAAGCATATAACGCAATGAAAAACTTGTTGAACAAGGTAGTTCTCTTCTTTTTCTCCAATTAGTTTGGTTTTAATGAATAATTATAATTATATTGTCTATTAACCTTGAATTTTAAAACGTATATATAGCGCTAATTTTAAATAAAGCAAACAGTTGTTCAGATAAACTTAATCACATTTTATGCACTGCTCAAAATGATTAAGAAGCTAATTTTGTGTGCTGCGCTTTTTATCTTAGATGCTAATGCAGGAGCAAGTAAGTAATCACAAATTATAGATTTAAGAAAATAATATGCCATAGCCATTTTAAGTGTAAATTGGAACATTCAATACTATATTTTCTTTTACCAGTGTTAATACTCGTAAACGAGCCGTTAAAGTCTAAGAGAATATTCAATAATTCAATTATTTTGTAACTGAAGTCTAGAAGTCGATTTCTTGTACTTCTACTAAAATTGGCATATCTATTTGGAAACTATTCGAAAACAAAATTATTAAGATCACTCGTGTCACTTACCATACGGCGCTGGGGTAACATCCCTATAAGGGTTTTCCTAAACGCTATAACAATGGATACTGGCAATGCTGCCTTGGCCACACTAATATTAAATTAGTATCATTGGGTTAGTTCTATGACGGTATAATCATCAATTTACTTTATACCGATCTGTTATTCTCTAACAGATCATAAATTAATATTTAATCGGTTTTCAGGTTTCATCTTATAATTTACGAGGGAATTCTGTATATTCCCAAATTAGGATATCTTGGAAGAAATAACCCATTTTTCGAGCTTTCAGCCTATTTTCTGTTAAACTATTACATTATACGGATAAATAAATACGGAGTCCATAAATAACACAACCTCAATGCATCCTGCATTGCATTCCAAGCCTCAATTTTATTGCATAACGACTGCTCATCCTTTTAATGAAAAATTCCTCCGGGAGAAGTAAAAAGCCTCAAGTAAAACCTAATTTACATATTAATTTGTAATTAACCAACTTTCAGTTGATTTCATCAAGCCTTGCGCTTGGAATGATAAGGCTTGCATTTTGGATTCATCAAAATTAGCGCTACCGTATTTTGTCAAGGGTATTCCTGAAATAGGAGTCTCCCCGGTGGACCCTTTTACCATTGATGAAGTCAACGCCGATAATGGAGAACTGAAGCTTCTGTTCAAAGATATAAAAGTGGAGGGTATTTCGAAATGTGAAATCGGTGAAATAGAGTAAGTAATCACATTCCATATTAACATAACAGTATTATTAACGCGAAATGCTATTGTTTTGCAGCGTTAGAGTTTTGCCGTCTACTTTTTTATGCCCAAAAACGGATTTGTGTGTTTTTGGGTCTTTTGATCTACCCACAAGCATTTTGCATAATGAGTTGTTTTCAATGAATAGAATATCTCACCCTAAAATGGTCGTATATCTATGATAAATCTAAAAGCTATTAGAAATTGAAATATTCCATTTGTAAAGTTCAAATCGTGTATGAAGCCTCTAGTCTCGAGAATTATGTTGCGATGGTTAATTATATAATAACATTTGTCGGCTATTGGCAGTTGTTATATAAATTCTAATTAAAACCACATAGTTAATTCCAGGATGAATACAGCATTAAATTATTTACATTTTCATTATAATAATTATAATTATATAAAATTACATACGTACGTATTTAATTATTATTTTTATAACTCCTTTAGTATTCATTTATTATAAGGAAGTAAATTATGTTGTTTTTTGTTTAAACCAACTTATCTTATTATACACTAAATAAATACGCAAGTAGATTTATATCGGTTGGCTTCTGTATTTCTGTACGCGCTAATCCGCCTATTAGAGCTTGAAAGCCTAAAACGCTATTGCCTAATCCAGCAGTGAGTAAATATAGTCTAGTAAGCATGACGATTTCTTTTTTTATTTTTTTTTATTGCTTAGATGGGTGGACGAGCTCACAGCTCACCTGATGTTAAGTGGTTACTGGAGCCCATAGACATTTACAACGAAACGCGCCACCCACCTTGAGATATAAGTTCTAAGGTATCAGTATAGTTACAACGGCTGCCGCACCCTTCAAGCCGAAACGCATGACTGCTTCACGGCAGAAATAGGCGGGGCGGTGGTACCTAACCGTGCAGACTCACAAGAGGTCCTACCACCAGTAAAGTTTAGAGTAGAGTTTAGGCGTCTTCTATGGATAAGGTTTGATAATTTTTTTGGTTTTTTTTTTTTTCAGGAGACCAACAGACAAAACTCATTTAAGGTTTATTTTATATTGCCCCATACTGATAACGGGCAAATACAAATCCGGCGGCAAAATATTATTAGTGGACGTTGAAGGAGAGGGAGATACTGAAATCAAGACTGGTAAAAAAATATGTTCATCACTAATTTATATTGTATTGTTATCTATTTACTTCCTTGTTTGAAATTTATTGTTATTGTTCAATACACTTAAGTTCCAGTTGTGTATGGTTTCCCGGTAAGTATTAAGTAACGTCGTTTTCAATGTCTCCATAAAACACTCAGCGAGTATGGATGTGAGCAGACGTATTTTGCTATTATATATTAGAGCGTCTATTACGAAAATTCTCATTACGTCGCCGAAAATTGTGATATTAGAGCGTCTATTGCATACACCGACACTTGTTTAATGATACTTCTAGTGTTGGGAAACTCATTCTCCTGGTATGAACCAACTAAAACGTAAAACACTAATCTTCGTATAAATTTTGTTATTTCTTTAAAATTAGAAATAAAAGTAATTTTTTTAAGGACCTTATATAAATAAAGATTATCATAGCAATATTATTAACTAAGCTATATAACTAAAGTAATCGAAGCAATACGATTGATAATCTGCAGTCTAATCAACGAATGTATTTTGGCATAGATTCATATTTGCTAAAGTGTATTTTAATTATTTCCAGATAAAGCCCGGATCGAAGTAGATATAAAAATGAAGACCATTGTGAAGGACGGCAAGAGCTACTACAAATTCACCAGCTTCGATTACAAGTATGAACCGATCGAAAAGTTGCATTTTAAATTTGACAACATGTTCAACGGAGATAAAGCGAAAGGTATAGAAAAAGACCAATCTGAATCATGTTACTAGCGTAATTATGACACAGCTAACATTTTATCCAAGAAATTATCGGATTTCTAATCAAGGAGTTGGCTTAGCGTGTTGTATTAAACATATAAGGACTTGTTTAATGACATCCTTACATGACGCCTATTTCTCCAGAGAAAGTAATCTTGCTTTTATTTTCATGAGTAGATTAAACATTATTCTGCATGATCCCACACTTCTATCCGCTCATTAGTCAATCCAAAACAGCTTAAATTAGAGCATTAACAAGTTGCTCCCAGTCAGAATTTACGGTCTGAAAAAATAGCATTTCTCCCAATCGATAATTCGACCTCATGCCTCATATTGTTGTTTAACGGCTCAACGAGCTCACGGCCCATCTGATATAAAGCGGTTAATGGTTAATTGAGAAAGCCGCCACCCACTTTGATACTCAAGGTGTAAGACTTAATAGTATAGCAATTACGCAAATTATAATTTTTGCTTGATTGATTTTATACACGGCGTCCTTAGTTCATCGTGGAAGTCATTCGTGAACTTGATTTCAGTACGTATTTCATTAAAAAAGTTTGTACCTGCCTCCGTGATTTGAACACGCCTTATCCTTTAACAAAACTATGAACATACTATATATCTGAAGTCGTCGTGGCCTAACGGATAAGACGTCCGGTGCATTCGTGTTGAGCGATGCACCAGTATTCGAGTTTTTTCAAATGAAAAACGTACTCAACAAATGCTCACGATTGACTTCCACGGTGAAGGAATAACATCGTGTAATAAAAATGAAACCCGCAAAATTATAATTTGCGTAATTACTGGTGGTAGGACCTCTTGTGAGTCCGCGCGGGTGGGTACCACCACCCTGCCTATTTCTGCCGTGAAGCAGTAATGCGTTTCGGTTTGAAGGGTGTTTTTTTTCTACCTAAGCTGATAGAGGCTATTTCAGCGTAATCTTAATTAGTGAAGGGTGGGGCAGACGTTGTTACTATACTTGAGACCTTAGAACTTCGTCCGCCCATCCAGCAATAAAAAAATATGTAATTTTTTTTAATAATAATAAAATATCATCAACTATAGTTTGTTTAGCTTTCATTGTGGCTTACTCATAAAATATATTATATTATAATATCGTTAAATCGATAAATAATATCGTTATCGTCAATTCTCATAATAGTAACAGTTCTTAATTCTTACATTTATTTACGAAATGCGTTATCGTTTTTTTCTTTTTTATTTTTTCTTTTCGTCTTTATAATTTCTTCGTCATACTTGAAACGTGTATGTAACCTATTATTTGCATGAAATAAAAGACTTATTATTATTATTATTTACGAAATGCGATATTATTACGCGTTTCCTCACAAAACTGTATACGAAAGTGAAATTAAAATATAATCGCCGTTGTACCGATCCAACTAGCACTGAACAACGTGGATCTTTATTATTATTTTATATGTTGCAGCCGAACCTTTTCTAAAGCTCTTAGATCAAAGCTGGAAGGAATTGGCCCAGCTAGGAAATCCTCTCATTAAGGCAATAGTCATGAAAGAAACGGCTAACATTGAAAAAATATTCCTTGCTATGCCTATAGAAGAAATCGAACTGCCAGCTTAGTGTTTATTGTTTCGAATAAAAGTGGATTTCCCGTATATATTTTTTGTTTTCTTTATTCGAAGGCCAGTGGGCAAGAAGAATTATTTTCAAAATGGGATTACACTGACAATCGCTCGTCTCAAAGTCAGTTAAAAAAAAAAGATGTGTGGTGTCGTAGGACACCGGATAGGAACGAAGTTCCTTATTATAAAAATATTAATTTTAAATTCTATTCGAGGTATAAAGAAAATCAACTTGAGGTTTCGCTACAACCCACGGTCATTCGGTAACGTGCGAACTTATTGTGGTGCACTTCATTCACGGTTGTTTGCATAAGAGTAAATACACTAAGTATTGCGCAAACGAACGCTCTACGATCGTGGTCAATGAATGATAAAAAAAACGTGTTATTTTTTGTACGCTATTACAAAGTTAAGTCGTACGCTGTGTGCATTACTAATTTGTACGTTATTACAAAGTTAAGTCGTACACTGTGTGCATTACTAATAGAAATCTTACGTTACGGACGTTTTTTTTTCCGGTTAGGGTACCCCTCCGCATCGTCCCATAAGGAACTTCGTTCCAAAACAGAAAAAAAAAACTATACACAAAAACAAATAAGGCAGGTAATAAAACATTTTAATGCAGGCTACCGTTTCGTAAATCCTGTTTACAGAATCGTAAATAGATTATCAATTTTATAACTCAAACACATGGAACCGATGCACTCGTTTTTAATAACTTATACAAATAAAGCAACTCAATTGAGTAATCGTAATTACTGGTTTTTATGACTGAAAAGCAATTATTCGTTTACCGCATACTGAGAAGACTCGAGTGTTCGATATAATATTTAAAGATAGACTAGATGATGACCGAGCTTTGCTCGACTTTTTTTTTTATAACGCCTACTTGTTGTGTCTTTAAAGCAGCGAAAATAGTATTATTATTCGTCAATAGATGTCGGGAATTGATTATCGATAAAGTTGATTATTGAAAACACAAATAAAACAACATTTTCTGAAAATTAATCGTAGCTAGATCGATTTATCGCCCCCGAAATCCCCTGTATACAAAATTTCATGAAAATCGTTGGAGCCGTTTCCGAATATATATATATAACGGCTCCAACTCGGAAACGGCTCCAATGATTTTCATAAAATTTAGTATACAGGGGATTTCGGGGATTTCGGATTATATATATATATATATATATATATACAAGAATTGCTCGTTTAAAGGTATAAGATAAGATAAGATTAACCTTCACAGTTCATCCAGCAAAGATTTTCATGGAACTTAGGCATTTCAATTTTAGACAACTTACAGCTCGTGATCAAAAGAAGAGGTGTGCGTGGCTTAATGGGTGCTGTAGTAGCTTTTTTTTACTATTGCTTAGATGGGTGGACGAGCTCACAGCACAACTGGGGTTAAGTGGATACTGTAGCCCATAGACATCTACAATGTAAATGCGCCACCCACCTTGAGATATAAGTTCTAAGGTCACAAGTCAATGGCTGCCCTACCCTTCAAACCGAAACGCATTACTGCTTCACGGCGGAAATAGACAGGGGGTGGTAGTTTCCCGTGCGGACTCACAAGAGGTCCTACCACCAGCTGTCATAAAGTATCGATTTTAAATAAAAACCTGAACAGCGCTAACGATGTTTTCAAAATAAACTTACATTTAATTTAAGTTAAAAAAAATCATTCTTTCTGTCGGTATATCAGGCAATGTCACACGGTCACTAGATTCCTTTATGATTTTCGCTAATATTTCATTGGACGTTAAATTTATATTTCAAGTTACGGGTGACTCACTTTATTCTCCATATGGACTCCAGTAACAATAGTCACAGAGGCACCTCATATTAATTTTAAAATCAGAGCTATCAACAAGCGTATTCTATCTACGCCCCCCGAACATTATTGAGCACAGTGCTCTAAGAATAGAAAACACCGATTACATACTCAGCTACGAATCAATATCCTAATTCGGTGCTGATCGTTTTAGTTACAATGAAAACCCGAATATGAGACAAAGCTTCAGAATGAACAAAATTCTTCTCTTTATTGCTCTATTCTAGAGGAGTGGGCAACCTTTTTAATTAATGGGTCAATAAAATTTTTTTTGGCGCGCCGCTCATATATTAACTCTTACTAGTGCATTTTAATGCAAGAAAAACAAGCAAGAAAAGAACAGAAAAACGAATTTACTTGAAAATTTTCATGAGAAATTTGTCACTGTTTTTTCGATATAAGATAATATCAACCGGAATGGATAAGGTAGCTACACGTACGCAGCATTCTAATCGTCCATCACTCAGTCTTGATCGATGGTAATTTTTGATTAATTTTATGGTTGAAATTAATTAATTGTTCGCAAAGATACGTACTTCCAACAGAGACATCATTTGGTTTACTTTACTACCATTTTGTTATCATTAATTTTGTAATAATTTATTGATGAGAGAAAATCGATAAAATAAATTGAATTTTATAAATGCTTGGCGGGTCGCGTGTTGCTCATCCTTGCGTCTAGATGGTTAAACGAAGTCATGGTCCAAGTGTTAAGTGGCCACCTTAGCCCTTGGACATAACTTTAAACCCATAAATATGACCGACTGAGTTTCTCGCCGGATCTTCTTAGTGAGTCGCGATTAAGATCCAATAGTAGTGCTCTTGCTAGTGCTAATGTTAGAAAATTCTCTCACCTACCCATCCGCGCGTAGCTAAGAGCGAATACGTAGGTTCAAAACATCCGTAAACCAATCTTAAGACATCGGGTCAAAGTCACATTGTAAAACAACTGTCCCACCTTCCAAACTCAAATGCATCCCTGCGTAACGAGATGTTCTATCTCTTTCTCACCCTTGAGGACACGTAATAAATAATAAATACTCGTAGGTTAATAAACAATATGAACTTTACATGACTTTTATTAAACTTATTTCCATTAACCACATATCTAAAGAGCCTTTATCTTAGTCGGACTACCTGTGTTCATTAATTATGTTAACATTTTTTGGAAACATAATGTGTTTCTTTAATTGGCTCATGTTTGGGAAAACATCCTCTGTACCCTGTGTCTAGTTAAATGCTGTTGAAACATTGTTGATTAGATAAATAAATAAATCTAAAAGGATATCTAAAAGATATTACCTTTCGCATTATCACGATTACCTTCCGCAGGTATTAATAAAATCATTGATCTTTTTAACAATGAAATATTCAATAAACGAAGGTATAATATAAAAAAACGTAAACCAAGCTCCCGATCACTTCGAATATAAATAAGTACAGTTCAATTTTACATTGAAACCCATGAGTGGTTATTTTATTACGTGCACTATAACAAACAGTGCGCTCCTTAAATAAATGCTGTTTATGAAATAACCTTTAATTATTACGCTTCAATAAAATAACTAGTTCTTTTCGAAAACAAATTAATAACGATAAAGTTATTACGCCGGCTTTAACCGCATAATGTAAGCCAGACAACTTTTTTGTTTCGTTCCCATGCTTAAAACATTGCGGTGTTGTTACTAGCTTTTAATAAGCCATGTGTTTTATGAACATTTATTACCCTGATCGCACCGAGTGGTCGGGACTTTATAATACATTCAGTTTGAAATCACAGGTTTTAAATGTATCGTCGGTAAAGGCAAATACTATTTAGTTAAAAATTGGATGAAAGTTGGATCAACCACCCATTTTATTTAGTTAGTCGGATCCTCTGGACCGAATGGTAAACAGTCGACGTTGCCTTAAGCACGTCATTACGGATCCTCCCGATCCATTAACGGTGCTTTTATGTACCTCAAGCACCGGTCATCGTCCTGGCCGAACCCATTACGACGAAGGAAGAGTGTAAATTAACCCATAGACTCAGCCCACTGAGTTTCTCGCCGGATCTTCTCAGTGGGTCGTGTTTCCGATCCGGTGGTAGATTCTGCGAAGCACCGCTCTTGCCAGGGACAGTGTTAGCAACACTCCCGGTTTAAACCCCGTAAGCTCACCTACACCTCAAAGCGAAGTTGAAATAGTCTCTCAAGACTATCAGCATGGATAGGGGAAAGAAGTTTGTGACGTTTTACTGATGTCACTTTTTTTGCATGACATTATTTCTTGATGGTGAAATCTACCTCGCTCAAGAGGTGAAGTCTTGATTTCTATTCTATTATCACTGTCCCACCATTAACTGGAATAACGGTTACGGTAACGCATAGCTGGGTGCGTTCACAATACATCTCACAACACCAAATTCACAAAAAGAATTGCATTTGTCTTTTAATAATACGGTTCAATGAATTCATTGCAAAGTCTTTCGGGGATGAAGTTTCGGGCTTCAAAAACTGTTAATCCGTGAAAAATAAAAAAAAAATTAACAGATCTCATGTCATCGAAATGCAGGTACATTTGAAGCTTGTATTATGTACGTATATGTATCTATAAATGTAAAAATCGATTTAAGGCAAAGCAATTGCGTTAGAGGAGGACCATGTTCGTGTGCTAACAAAAAATATAAAAAGCGATGCTTTTAACTTGTCCTCAAAGACCCCAAGAACTTTAAAAAATAAAGAATAAAAAAACTTTTAACTGGAAACTGCATCGCGAAGTGGAAAGTCTTTTTTGCACTTGCTTTTACTTTAAGAGTTATCAATCGATACTGGTAACAGGAAACTTTTCACTTAACACTAACTTATTTTTTAATACCAAACATTTCAAGTCGAACCTTACATTTATTAAGAGGTAAATTCAAATCCTAACACATTTTTAAAGTTTTTTTTTTTATATCCGCAAATCGTAGATGCAATCAAAACTGTTTTTACGGTTTAATCTCGGGTTTTTATTTACTTTGCAGTTTTAATTTTTCATCGTTTTTTTATTGCTTAGATGTGTGGACGAGCTCACAGCCCATTTGGTATTAAATGGTTACAGGAGCCCATAGACATCTACAACGTAAATGCGCCACCGACCTTGTGATATAAGTTCTAAGGTCTCAAGTATACTTACAACCC